TTTTACAAATTTTCGACCGTTTCATTTCCCTTTTTCGCTCTTTTCCCCACTGTATGGCACCCTTGCTTCAGACCAAATACCAAATTATCGTGCCTATGCCTCCAAGATCAGCGTCACGTTGTTTGTTTGAAAAGCAAGGAATGTGATGGGAGTTCACGCGTCAGATGCACACAGAAGGCCTCTTGGAGTGCGTTCATACTCAACAATATCCTCGTCATACTTAGCCACTACAGTGCTCCACCTAATGGGCAGGTGGCCATTCCCCTCTCCAGAACTGAGGAGGCTGCGAGTAGAGTAAGTAGGCAGCCTCTCGACTGATATCATCAAAGTTGCTGAAAGTTTTCTTCGCTAAGAAAGCCTTATGGAGGTGAAGCAGGGCTCCAACCGCGTTGTGGCTTGGTAGCGATTCATATAGCGTGTCGAAAATGATGAATTTCAATTACCGTTTTTCATATGAGAACAGCGACTGCGAGGGACGGTGAAGAAGCTGTGGAATGCTTACCTAACACACTTCCCATAGACCACATAACTGGATCTCGAAATGGCTGCGGAAAGATCTGATACGAGATTCAAAAAATGTCCACGAACTTTTGGGACAACCTAATACTTATGCCATCATTACCCAGATGAACTTTAATTACCCTATCTGCGCTTACGCCGTAAAAAAGAAGCCCTTTGTCATCGTAATTCAATGCTGGACAGCAATAAATGAGCAGAAGTGGGTATTTGGCAAAAGAATCGTATTTCGCCGCGCAGTGGGCGTCGCCTGCGACGTCGCGCCCGCTATTGTCGACCATTTCAAATGGCATTCTTCGGGACTAAGATAAAGTATGACTAAAAAGAGATACACGTGTCTACCATGCTTTGTCTACATGAAATCCGATGCTCCATTCGAAAGTGTAGTGCAAATTAAGGAAATATCACACCCATTGCCGCGCGCGACGAAGCGGCAGTTTACGATTCTCTTGCCCGTCTTCCTAGCAGAAGTATCGTCGACATTGTCACAGTCAGTCAAAAAGGAGGTGTTTCCAAGTAGTAGGTTTTTCTGACGCTTGCTCTCACGATAACGCAATAAGTGACGCATCGATACCCCTAGAGTGCGACGAAGAGAGGATGAATGATCGTATGCATTTAATCCACCGGCTACATAATGACGACCGCTTTCTATAGAAGCATGGAAAGACACGCGGCTAGAAGAGATTGAGCGTTTCCAGCATCTTTGAGCAATTTCGGTCCTTATGCGATATAGAATCGCAGTACGTTGTAACTGTATCATTTCAAACAGGGCACGGTTGTGATTCCCAGCAGGGGGTCGTGTTTGGTCCTTGGATAAAGGGGGGAGGGGTCGTATCGGCCTCTGAGAAAAATGTTATCGGTTGTTGACTCTTCGTGGTTCTCCCCGTTTCACGTGTTTTCTGTATAGTCCCCACCCCGCCCCCGCCCTCCCCCCACCTCATCGCGCTCTAGTCAGCGGCAGGTTCTTGGGGAAGAACTAGAGGAATTTGATACACGACCGCTTTTATGTCGCAGCCATCACAGGACTCAAGCGCTTAACTTGGTGAGCCGGTCAGCCGTAATCGTTAGATATCGGCAACGAACCGCTAGGCCGAAGGC